GTACTCTTGCTAGCCATCTTGCCATGAGAGTACAAAGAACAAAGGGAAAACACATAAATGTATTCCTTAAGCATTTGGGGTCATCCTCACTGCTGTGTCTGATCTCCATTGGCTGGAGCCAGACCACACAATCTAAACTAAAATCCGATTGGCTACCGACTTAAAACTTTTCTCAACAGGTAAAAGCAATAGAGAGCTAGGAGATGCCTGTGACCACGTCCAGCACAGATATCTTGGTTCAAGTACACGGACATTGAATGTACTATGTGCCTGTAAGCATGGTATGTCTTAACAGTTACATAGGATAGGGCTTAACACGCTTATTATTCTTTAACAAGAAAGGAAACTTTAAAAGGAACTTTTCTACTTCCCACAATGAGGTAAGGTAGAAAACTTCTTAGCTTTTTCTTTTTTTGTGTTTTTTTGGTTTGAGGAATCTTGCTTTGGTGCCCAGGCTGGAGTGCACTGGTGAGATCTCAGCTCACTGCAACCTCTGCCTCCAGGGTTCAAGCAATTCTCCTGTCTCAGTCTCCCAGATAGCTGGGATTACAGGAGTGTGCCACCACACCCAGCTACTTTTTGTATTTTTAGTAGAGACGGCTCTCACCATGTTGGTCAGGCTGGTGCCCCAGCCTTCCAAAGTGTTGGGATGACAGGCGTGAGTCACCAGACCCAGGCCAGAATTGTTTTCAAGGGTGTTGTTGGAGCTGGTGGAGCATAACTGAGAAGGTAGAGGTACTCAGCAACAAAAGAGAGGAGATGCTACCTAGAGATCAGGAAGCTGGGACCGCCTGGCCCCAAGCCCAGGAGCCCACACTCACCCCCAAGGGACTCCAGGGGCTGCTGCTGTTGAGCAGAAACCTAGAGTGAAGATGCTTAAAGCACCCTATGTGCAGGTGGTGATCCCTATAACCCCACACTGCAGTCACTACCCTGCAGCCAGCAGGCAGATAAACAAGGCTTCTTCCTCCCGCCCCACTGCAGTCTCTCATAGGGGCCTCTCATTTGCAGAACCTATCCAGAAGCCAGCTGACAGGACACTCCGGGGAGTGCAGAAAACTGCCCTGCAGCACCCTGGAATGGCCATGAGAATGGTGCAGAGGCACTGTCATGAAGACCAAGTGGGCCTCTAGAAAACAGCTCACCACAGAAAGAGACTAACTCACTGAGTTTTTTCCAGAGCCAGAAAGTTCTCAAGAATAACAGTCTTTTTTAATTCTACTGTCTTAGGTTTAAAGCTTTTTTTTTTTTTTTTTTTGGTAGAGATTGGGGGTCTTGTTAAATTGCCCAGTCTGGTCTCAAACTCCTGGCTCAAAGCGTTTCTCCCACCTCAACCTGCAAAAGTGTTGCATTTGTACAGGTGTGAGCAACTGCACTGGCCTTGCTTTAAAAAAAAAAAAGGGCCGGGCGCGGTAGCTCAAGCCTGTAATCCCAGCACTTTGGGAGGCCGAGGCGGGTAGATCACGAGGTCAACAGATCAAGACCATCCTGGTCAACATGGTGAAACCCCGTCTCTACTAAAAATACAAAAATTAGCTGGGCATGGTGGCACGTGCCTGTAATCCCAGCTACTCAGGAGGCTAAGGCAGGAGAATTGCCTGAACCCAGGAGGTGGAGGTTGCGGTGAGCCGAGATCGTGCCACTGCACTCCAGCCTGGGTAACAAGAGCAAAACTCCATCTCAAAAAAAAAAAAAAAAAAAAAAATGGTGAGCACTGCTTTTCCAGTCAATATTTCCTGCTTGGCTTCTCTCTCTACTTCTCATACGATCAATTACTGCAAACATCACCTGCCAATTCTACAAGCCTAGCTTCTCATCCCTCTTCTCCTTGACTTCTTTTGGCTCTTCCTTCCTTCTTCTTATCCTGTGATCTTTCCTAATGTTAACCCAGTCTGTTCTCACACATACTCAAAACAGAAAGACAAGCCACACAAAAAACAATAGCCATCTGGGGAAACAGAACGTCTAACAGCCTCAAATACGTCATTACTCCGGCTTGCTTCTTGTAGGGACCAAAGGACCCTCTTGTGTAGCTGCTTCAGTGTAGCAGTTCCCTGCCCTTGTCTTTTGTGAATGTCAAGGGCTTTCTCACTTACAGAAGCAAGGTCAGTAGGGAAAGACTAGGAGCAGTGTCCTGAGGCTGAAGCTCCACCTCCTGTCTGTGCAAACTCCCAGGAGGCGGCTCTACGCAAGGCAGTGCCATTTTCTCATCACTCAAGAATCAGTGTGTGCTTTTAAAGTGGATCTGCTACCTTCAAAGCTTTTTCTTTTTGAGACAGCCTTGCTCTGTTGCACAGGTTGGAATGCAGTGGTGTGATCTCTGCTCACTGCAACCTCCACCTCCTGGGTTCAAGTGATTCTCCTGCCTCGGTCTCCTAAGTAGCTGGTACTACAGGTGCATGCCACAATGTCTGGTTCATTTTTGTTGGTCAGGCTGGTCTTGAACTCCCAACCTCAGGATATCCGCCTGCCTTGGCCTCCAAAGTGCTTGGATTACAGGCGTAAGCCACCATGCCAGGCCCATTTTTGTATTTTTAGTAGACACGGGGTTTCATTATGATGGCCAGGTTTGTCTTGAACTCCTGATCTCATGATCTGCCCACCTCAGCCTCCCAAAGTGTTGGAATTACAGGTGTGAGTCACTGAGCCAGGCCCAAAACTTTTTTATTTTTATTTTTTTGAGACGGAGTCTCACTCTGTTGCCCATACTGGAGTGCAGTGGTGCAATCTTGGCTCACCACAACCTCTGCCTCCTGGCTTCACACAATTCTCCTGCCTCAGTTTCCCGAGTAGCTGGGACTACAGGCACACACCACCATGCCTGGCTAATTTTTGTATTTTTAGTAGAGATAGGGTTTCACTATGTTGGCCAGGTTGCTCTTGAACTCCTGACCTGTGATCCACCTGCCTCAGCCTCCGCTTAATTTTTTTGTGAGATAGGATCTGGCTCTGTAGCTCACACTGGAGTGCAGTGGCGAAATCACCACTCATTGCAGCCTTGACCTGCTGGGCTTAAGCCATTCTCCTGCCTCAGCCTCCAGAGTAGCTGGGAATACAGGCACTCGCCACGATGCCCTATTAATTTTAAAATTTTTGTAGAGATGCTGTCTTGCTATGCTTCTCAGGCTAATCTCAAACTCCTGGGCTCAGTTCAAGCGATCTGCCTGCTTTAACTTCCCAAAGTGCTGGGATTACAGGCATGTGCCACCTCGACTTCAAAAGTTTTCAGTATTTTCCACTGCTCTTGGAACGAAAGCCAAGCTTCTTATCCACGCAGGAGCCAGTCCCACCTACCTCGTAATCAAGTCTCCTGTGCTCTCTGCCTCCGTCACTAAGCTCCGGCCACATTGGCTTTTCGATTCGTTAGTCTGCCCAGACATTTTCCTCTCAGGTGTTCTCCCCAGTCTGGCTTGTTCGAAAGCTCACCTTGTCTCAGTCTTCCTGTATGGCTGGCTCCTTTTCTTTCTTCAGATCTGGGCACAAATGACACTTCTCAGAGAGACTAATTCTATCACTTGCATGTGATTTTGTTTTCTTCGTAGCATTCAGCATTGGAGTTTGTTTTTGAGACTGAGTCCTTCCTCTGCCACCTAGGCTGGAGTGCAGTGGCGCGCGATCTCGGCTCACTGCAACCTCGGCCTCCCGAGTTCCAGCGATTCTCCTGCCTCAGCCCACCACCATGCCCAGCTAATTTTTGTATTTTCAGAAGACACTGGGTTTCACCATATTGGTCAGGCTGGTCTCAAACTCTTGACCTCAGGTGATCCAGCCGCCTCGGAGTCCCAAAGTGCTGGGATTATAAGCGTGAGCCACCGCGCCTGACCGGAGGTGTTCTTATTTTTCAGTCTCCCTTAGACATGAACGTCAGCTGTAAGAGGGCAGGGGAAGGGGCCATGGCAGCCCTGCTCACCGGCGGTATCCTTGCGCTAGCAATGCCGGATATGATTTCTGTGCTCATTTGGGCCAGGACCTGAGGTCACAGTGGTGAAGACGACACTACGCTTAACACGCTCCAATTCAAACCTATGACAAAATGTGCTCCTGCCACAGCGCTCCCTGAGTAAATGGCTCTTTACCGAGGCCTTTCTGATACCTCAGCAAGCTGTGCTAATATTCCAAGTAACCTCAGCTTCCTCTTGAAATCAGACCCCAAATCCTACCACTTTCTAAGATCCTGGTAAAAGTTAAGTTGGACCCCTTACTCCTCCAAGGGCCTCCCCGCTCTAACGGAGTGAATTCCGCGGTCGCCAAGGCCCTCCCTGGTCTGGCCCCTAACCATCTCCTGCCACTCTCCTCCCAGCTGCTTTCCCCTTGGTCCAGCCGGCCTCCTGAGGGCCACGTTCCCGGGTTCTCCTAATTACCTTCCACCTGGTCTCGATGATTCCGCCCTTATGCGCACCCACCCGCTCCCAACCGGCAGCTGCAGGGATCTTTTTAAAACCGTCCGGGACTCCTTAGCGCAAAGCCTTCCACGACTCCCCACTTTTCCTAGAGAAAAAAACCCATCCGGACCTAGCCCCGGGCTGCCTGTCAGACCTCAGCGAGCACACCCGGCTCTGGACGCCGTCTCTCGGAGCCCTCCTCAGGGCAGCTCCCCCCGCCCCGCCCCCAGGGAGGCGCTTCTCTCCATTACCGCGCGGCACAGCAAGCCCGGCCTTGCCCCATCACCTGCGCCGCTCTCTGCTCCTCCACCGGCCGCCGGGCTACCGGCGCAGGACGCCTTCGCCAGTCCGCTTGGTCGTCCCCCGACGACTTTGTGCTGCAGGAAAGTACACGCCGCCACGCCCGGTCCTAGCACAGCGCAGGACTTAACACACAGCACCGAGCGATGAGGCCCGGAGACAAAGAGCTTTGCTTGCCCATTCGCAGCGCCCTGGACCTCAAAATCCCGTCCCGCGACCACAGCCCGCAGGCTCCCGAGAGAGGCGCGTCCGCCCCGCCCCGCGCCGGGCCACGCACTGGGCGGGGGGGGGGGGGGGGGGGGCAGGGACCAAGCGCCAGCGCATGCGCACGGCGGGCGCGCGAGGCATTACGGGGCTCGTAGTCTCCCGAAGGGGCCGCTCCCGGCCTCGCGGCCGCGGCTCCCTACACTACAACTCCCACGGGGCAGCGGGCGCGGCTCCCCGCACCCACCGGCTGGCCAGGCAGGACAGCCACTTCGCGGTCGGGTCCGCTGGCTGCCGCCCGCGCAAGGAGCGGGAAGATGGCGGACGCAGTCGTGGGCAAAGACAAGTGCGGGGAGCAGAGGCTCGTCTCGCTGCCGTTGTCCCGGATCCGGGTCATCATGAAGAGCTCCCCCGAGGTGTCCAGCATCAACCAGGAGGCGCTGGTGCTCACGGCCAAGGCCACGGTGAGGGGGCAGGGCAGGGCGGGGGTGGGGCCGCCTTTGCCCGTTGCGCCCCGCCCCGCCAGGCTCCCGGTACTGCCCAGTCCCCTTAGGCCTGAGCGCCTCCCGCTGCCCTTGCTGGGCTCGCGCGCGCCCCCCTGCCCCCTCCCACTCCGGCGCGCGCCGAGGTGCCAGCGTGCCCCCACCAGCGGCGCTCCCTCCCTTTCTCGCGCGTCTTCGCCCCGCCCACCCCGCGCGGCTCCCTCCCTTTCTCTAGTTTCTTCGCCCCATACACCGCGTTCCGCTCCCGCCCTTTCTCGCTCCTTTTCGCTCCTCCCTTCCGCGCGCACCTTCGCCCCGTCCACCCCGTCGCGCTCCCGCCCCCTCTCGCGTGTTTCCGTTCCTCATCCCCGCAAGCTCCCAAGTTCCCTTGCGCGCCTTTCGTCCCGCCCACCTCTATGCTCCCGTCGTCCCTCGCGCGCCGCGCTCAGTTTCCGGCCCTGCGCGTGGGCTTCGGCGCCAAGTGGTGGTGGCCTCATTTGGTTTCTTTGGCGGCCCTTTTCACCCGCGAGTCCCTATTCCTGGCCTTCCTTTTTGTTGCCGTTGGCCTGCTTCTTTCTTTGGGGGCCCTGTCTCCTCCAGCGTCCCGTGGGAGGGACAGCTGGGCGCTCCACCCAAGGCTTGAGGCTTTTCTCCCGCGGGTCAGGCCCCAGCTCCAGCGGTCCGAGGCTTTCGAGCCCCCCGCCCCGCGCCACACCTGTTACCTCCTCTAAGAGGAAGCACATCCCCCAGCCAGAATTTAAGGAAGTCTAGGGAACCTAGTTTTATAGTCTGTTCAGCATCCTCTTGGGTGCAAAATAGATTTTGTCTTTTTTAAAAACATTGCGTCTTGGTAGTGTTAGGCTAGATACTTTTCTGTTGTGAGACTGGGCCGTGTTTCAGCTACACAGTTAAAGGCTTTAACTTGCTTTAGATCCTATTTCCCAGTCTCTACTTGTGTTTAAGTACATAATGTCCCTACAGTGTTCGACCATAACTAAGGGAAATGGGAAATTACAGATTTCTCGCCTGCTTTATTATACCAGAGCCATGTTTTCCTAGAGCCCAGGGAAATAATTACATATTCAGCATTTCACCTGGGGACATTTGTGTTTTCCTGTACAATTTCATTTTATTAGTTTTAAGTAATGAGGATTTATGCAGGCACTTAGGATCTCTAATTTGTTTTTTTGTTACGGAGTCTCACTCTTACCCAGGCTGGAGTGCAGTGCAGATCTTGCTCACTGAAACCTCCGCCTCCCGGCAAACAATTCTTCCTCAGCCTCCTGAGTACCTGGGATTACAGCCGTCCGCCATGACACTCGGCTGATTTTTGTGGGTTTTGCTAGAGACAGGGTTTCACCATCTTGCCCAAATTGGTCTTGAACGCCTGACCTCAGGTGATCCGTCTGCCTCGGCCTCCCAAAGTGCCGGGATTACAGGCTCTGAGCCACCACACCCATCCTCATCCTTTATTAACTGAACGAGATTAATGCATTAAAGTCAAAACCTTGAGAAAAAGGCTTAATTCATCCTCTGTAAAAATGAAGGCCTGGCACTGCTTTAAGAACTCGGGTGGGGCCGGGCGCGGTGGCTCAAGCCTGTAATCCCAGCACTTTGGGAGGCCGAGGCGGGTGGATCACGAGGTCCAGAGATCGAGACCATCCTGGTCAACATGGTGAAACCCCGTCTCTACTAAAAATACAAAAAAGTAGCTGGGCATGGTGGTGCGTGCCTGTAATCCCAGCTACTCAGGAGGCTGAGGCAGGAGAATTGCCTGAACCCAGGAGGCGGAGGTTGCGGTGAGCCGAGATCGCGCCATTGCACTCCAGCCTGGGTAACAAGAGCGAAACTCCATCTCAAAAAAAAAAAAAAAAAACTCGGGTGGGGGAAGGGAAGACGATCAAGTCCGCTTGTTGCATTAGGTCTGAGGATTGTCAGTTCCTAGAAAAGTCAGCAAAATAGGTGTGGTTACTATCGTTGTCAGGCGTCCCCAGACTTTTTACACAGGGGGCCAGTTCACTGTCCCTCAGACCGTTGGAGTGCCGCCACATACTGTGCTCCTCTCACTGACCACCAATGAAAGAGGTGCTCCTTCCTGAAGTGCGGCGGGGGCCGGATAAATGGCCTCAGGGGGCCGCATGCAGCCCGCGGGGCCGTAGTTTGGGGACGCCTGGTAGGTGAACCACCTTAGAAACAGTGTATGCAAATAGAAGACAAAATGTATTCCTGAGCCAAACAGAATTTTTGAATGGCTTTTTGCTTCTTTTTCTCTAGAGGTTGGTCATTAAACAGTTATGATTCGTATTTTTCATAAGTTAGACATCTAAAATAAGCCTCTGGAAAATGCCTGCTTCTCCACCAATTTTGATACCGGCCTTGCTTGCTTTCTGACCTCATGTTTTTCTTTTCCCCAGTGATGTATGTATGTATGTATGTATGTATATTGTTTATCGAGACGGTGTTTCGCTCTTCTTACCCAGGCTGGAGTGCAATGGCTCGATCTCGGCTCACCGCAACCTCCGCCTCCTGGGTTCAGACAATTCTCCTGCCTCAGCCTCCCGAGTAGCTGGGACTACAGGCACGCGCCACCATGCCCAGCTAATTTTTTGTATTTTTAGTAGAGACGGGGTTTCACCATGTTGACCAGGATGGTCTCGATCTCTTGACCTCGTGATCCACCCGCCTCAGCCTCCCAAAGTGCTGGGATTACAGGCGTGAGCCACCACACGGGGCCTATTTATTTATTTTTAAGACAGAGTCTCACTCTGTCGTACAGGTTAGAGTGCTGCAACTTCCAACCTCCCGTGTCCCAGGTTCAAGCGATTCTCCTTCCTCAGCCTCCCAAGTGGCTGGGATCACAGGCACCTGCCACCATGCCCAGCTAATTTTTGTATTTTTAGTAGCAATGGGGTTTTACCATGTTGGCCAGTCTGGTCTCAAACTCCTGACCTCAAGTTACCCGCCTGGCTCAGCCTCCCAAGGTGTTGGTATTACTCATGTGAACCACCATGCCTGGCCTCCCGTGATTTCTTGTAATTTAATTTGAGAAACCAAGATAATCTGAAGTCTTAATGTAATTTTAAGCCTGATAAAAGCTTATCAACAGCATAATTTTAAACATTAAGCTCTGGGGTAAATTTTCAAAGCACATCTTTCATTTTACTTTTTCATTTTGTTTTAGGAGCTCTTTGTTCAGTATCTAGCTACCTATTCCTACAGACATGGCAGTGGAAAGGAGAAGAAAGTACTGACTTACAGTGATCTAGCAAACACTGCAGAGAAATCAGAAACTTTTCAGTTTCTTACAGGTACTGAGCCTTTGAAACATTCTGGTTGAAAAATGAATAGTTATCAATAGCTACTCCCACACCCCTTGCCTCCCCTCTGCTTTGAAGGAATTAATCTTGCTACTTTTTCCAAGCCTCAAAGGTCCTATGAGCTGTCACTGGAAGATACTTTTAGTCTTGTCTGAATGTGTTTGTAATGTGGTCTGCCTAGAACAATCATGAAGCCAATAGCATGCACGAGATGCTGGTTGGCTGCGAGTGCTGGGCAGTCCTTTCCCTTCCTACTGCGGGAGGGAAAAGCTTAGGGTGAGGGTACATGCCTGTAGTCAGAAAGAGCTTAAGTCTGCCCTGGGGCCAGTTTAGTCTATCTCAGCTAATCTGGCAGGGTTGCTCATAAAGCGGCTCATAGAGACACCATGGTTTGTACTGAGTGGAATGGAAACAGGCCTATAGCACTCGTTAGGAGACAGTGCTGGTTTCTCTGATATTTTACCCAGAATTATAGCCTCAATTTCATCTTGTTTTGGAAACTCTTGTAGAGGTCAAATCAGGAAGTAGTACATTTTGAAATTCGCATGACTGTGTTCATAGTCTACCATAATTGCTGATGTAAACTTTGTGTTTTTAAGATATATTACCGAAGAAGATTTTAGCTAGCAAATACCTGAAAATGCTTAAAGAAGAAAAGAGGGAAGAAGATGAGGAGAATGACAATGATAATGAAAGTGACCATGATGAAGCTGAATCCTAAACCAAAAAAGTGCTTGGAAAGCAGCCTGGCGAGGACTGCCCTGGACCTGCTCCACTGTCTCTAAGCATACACAACACTCCAGTGCGTGGGATTCTTTCCAGGCCAAGACTGAGTGCCTCATGCACCTACGCCACGAGCAGCCAGAGGGAGAGTGACCCAGACAGCAGCCCCTCCACAGGCCCGCTCTGCAGCTCAGGCGCCAAGAAAGCAGCTGGGACCGGCAGCCATGCTGCCTGCTCTGCAGCTCGACTGTAGAGGCAAGGCCAATTTTCACTTTTAAATTTACAGTCAATTTTGAAGAGCTTCTACCTATCAGTTATGTAAATTTTCATGTATGTATATTTTGGAATCAGTTCTTATAAACAGCTAGGTTCAGTTTTAGCTGGTGGTATGTTGCATTTGAATTTTTGTCTTTTAAGAAAAGTTGTTCAAATATTTTTCTACTGTAAAGAAATATACTTTTCTGTTAAAGATCTGTACGTATTTTTACAGTAAAATGCTTTATGGAACTAGTTTTAGAGCCCTCCATGGCTCTGAGGATTTTGTTACTGCCTACAAATTTTGTGAAATTTAAAAATTAGCATTCTAACACTTTTATGCCCACAGAAAAATTCCAAGTCAAATTATCAAATCAAATACAAAATAAGTCTTACCTCTTGTATAAGCATGTTGTTCTAAAATATAATTGCGAAACATTTGTATGTTTAAAGTCTTTCTCATCTTACTGTTCTTTGCTTTAAATTCCTGGCACTTGTTTTTACTGTCTATAAGAGCAAGCCTATCATAAGCCCAATTTTTTTTTCCTCACATAGGGTAAATGTTTAGTTCTTCTTGTTTCATCATTATTATTTTTTTCTTCTTCTTTAAAAAAAGACAGATTCTCTGTTGCCCAGGCTGGAGTGCAGTGGCACAATCTTGGCTCACTGCAGCCTCTGCCTCCCAGATTCAAGTGATTCTCTTGCTCAGCCTCCCAAGTAGCCGGGATTACAGACATGTGCCACCACGCCCGACGAATTTTTATAATTCCAGTAGTGACAAGGTTTCACCTTGTTGACCAGGTGAGTCTCAAACTCCTGACCTCAAGTGATCTGCCCCCGCCTTGGCCTCCCAAAGTGCTGGGATTACAGGCATGAGCCACAGCACCCGGCCTTCATCATTTCTTTTTTAAAAATAAAAAAGTTTATAATTTACGTTCAGTAAAGTCACCCTTTTTAGTGTCTGGTCTGTGAATTTGGACACATGTATGGTTTTTATCACCAATCGCTAAGCAGGGCAGTTCCATCCCCCGTGACATTCCCCAGTGTTCCCTGTACTCAGACTTGTCCTCTGCCCCTTAGCAGCCACCGGTGTTTTCTGTGCCTCTTGTTTATTAACATTTAATTTTTAGGTTACTATTATGAAATCTTCTAAGAAAAAAAAAAAAAGAAAAACCCAAACATTTATTGTAAAATAAACTAAAAATCTACTCTTTGTTGTACAGTTCTGAGTTTTGACAAATGCAGTCACCACCACCACAACTAACAACTGCATCATCCTCCAAAAAATTCCCGTGTGGTCAACTCCTTCCCCAACTTTTACCCTGGCAACCGTCAAGCTATTCTCTGTCCCTATAGCAGGTATCAGCAGATTTTTTTCTGGAAAGGGCCATGCAGTAAATAGTTCAAGCTTTGTGGGCTTTTATTGTCTCTGTTGCCGCTACTAAACTATGCTGTTGTGGTACGAAAGCAGCCAGGTGATACATGAAGGAATGCAGGTGCTGTGTTTCAATAGAGCTAAATTTTTACAAATTGAAACTTGAATTTTGTGTAATTTTCATGTCATGAAATACTGTTTTCTCAAACCATTTAATAATGTAAATACTTAGCTTATGTGTCATTAAAAAATGAATGGCTTTGGCCTACGGACCATTTTGCTGACCTGTATTTTCCAGAATGCCATATAAATGGAATCATTGTGTAGCATTCGAGTCTGCAGTTTTTCTGTTTAGCGGAATTTGTTTGAGATACATCCGTGTTGTCACAGGTATTAAAAGTCCATTTCTTTTATTGCTGAGTAGGATTCCATTGTATGAACGTAATTGTTTATCCATTTTCCATATATATGGAAAATTACCCATTTGGATTGTTTCTAGTTTTGACGACTATGATTTTTTTTGTTTGAGATAGGGTCTCACTGTTACCCAAGCTGGAGTGCAATGGCATGATTCCGGCTCACTGCAACTGCCATCTGGGTTCAGGTGATTTCTATCTCAGCCTCCTGAGTAGCTGGGATTACAGGCATGCATCACTATACTCAGCTCATTTTTTGGTGTATTTTTCATAGAGAGGTGGCTTCACCATGTTGGCCAGGCTGGTCTCTATAACTAACTCCTGACCTCAGGTGATCTGCCTGCCTCAGCCTCTCAAAGTGCTGGGATTATAGGTGTGAGCCCCCATGCCTGGACTTAATGAATATAATTCACAAAGCCCTGTAAACACTTGTGTACAGGTGTTTTTTTTTTTTGAGATGGAGTCTCATTTACTCTGCTGCCCAGGCTGGAGTGCAGTGGCGCCCTCTCGGCTCACTGCACCCTCTGCCGCCTGGGTTCAAGCGGGTCTCCTGCCTCAGCCTCCCGAGCAGCTGGGATTACAGGGCCTTGCTCATGATGGGCTTAGCTGAGTGGCTTCTTACTTCATCCCTTCTCATGCTGCAAGAGCGGAAACAGCCAGCTAGCCTACCTACCATGGCTGTTCCCACTCTCGTTCAACTCATACCTGTGGTTTTCATCCCCCAAACCCAGATCCTCAGGTAGTGCCCAGCTCTGCCAAGTACATTCTTCAAGGACAGGGCTCTGGACTTCCACTCCTGAAGGCATGCTTCTGCCTCGGAAACCTGTGCGGAAGGAAGTCCGTGAGGAATTGAAGAGGTTTGGAAGAGGCAGCTGTAAATAGGAGGACTTTTATTTAATTTTTTGCTGACATACTATGAGGCAAAACAAAATTGACACCATACAAAATAACTTTATAAAATATCATTCACATCATAGTTTATCAGATTTACAGCATTCTGTGCATGTTAGGGGTTATGTAAGGTGAAAAAAACACTATGCCAAACTTTTAGTATTAGTTTATATACACACAGTAAGAAACAAAACAAGTCACTGTTAGGGTTTCCATGAATTTATTGCAAAAATAGTGCAAACTACTTAACCTAGTAAGCTGTAAAAACAAACTAGAAAGGACCCAGCTAAGCTTAAACATGACAATAGATGCTCAGGTTCTCAGCATGTAGCTTTCTTCACCAGTTTTATCTTGACAATCAAGACCACTCCCCATCTGTTCAGTTTAGGGTGAGTGCTGAGGAATAGAGAAATGTGAGGACGGGCTCTCTGGAGAGACCAGAGGCTCGGGCTGCCTGATTTCAACAACACATTTAGGATCATGCTACTTCCTCAATCACAACTTTTCTGAGGTCTGTGTTGAAAAGAAAAAAAAAAAAAAGTGACATGATTTTTAGCCTTGACCTTAGAAATAAGTTATCCAACCTCTCGATGACATGGAGAAACAATTAAGAAAGCAGCATGAACAGAAAGGATTCAGAACATTATTGTCTGCTTATCCACATAGCATCCGTCTCCTCAGGTGTATGTGGCTAAAGTATTATTCTAATATAGGGCAACCTTTGAGCCAGATATTGCAACAAGTTTAATTTTTTAATTTTTGTTTTTTTTCGTTTATTTTTTAAGGATACTTATATCTCTACAAGAGTAATTTTTAAATTTCTTTCAGCAGTCTATTGGGGTCCAAAAAGCATATATCTAAACAAAAATAACAAAAGCAAAACAAAATGCTACATGTAGAAGCTAAAGAAAGAAAATGCAGCATATTCAGGTTCTTTTTCTTGAGGTACCTATATAAATTCAATCACCTGCCCCAAAGTCTTCTCGTTAGGTTAAAAAAACAATGCGTCCTGGAGGGCCAATTGCAGGGCACGCCTTATTACTGAGAAAGTGCAAGAATGCTGATCATCTTATGCAGCATACTAAAGGATGATTTACTCTTTACAAAATAGAGCTTAAGTATTAACCTGATGGAAGTTAGAAAATTAAAAACATTTAAGTAGAATCATCTCTCTCTCTTTCTATTTTTGAGATCCTGCAGCAACAAGCCTCCCAAATCAACTTTCAAAGTTCTGCTAGTAAGGAATGTTGGTTCTCTTGTAAAATTCAGAGATCTCTTTAAAATAGTAAAACTATGTACTACAGGAGAAAGATCCCTAATTTGTGTTTCTTATTGGTATAAAATCAAATTCTTAAGACTCCAAAATATTGTTACCTCCAAAGAATTAAGTAAAAAAAGATCGCCATAGTAGGAAAAGTTCTAGAATTGTAAACTGCCAAATATAAAAGCATGGTAAGTCATCACCCTATCTCAATTTCTTACCTGTCAGAAAGCCTTCCCAACTCACAGGCACATGGGCCACTGCTGAATGCGGGCCTCCGCCTCCGCAAAGCCAGGAGCTCTGGCCTGCCCCTTTCTGTCCATGGTCATTAGCACCTCCACCAGGTAGGTCAGGAGAGATGAAATCGACAACAGTCCGTTTGCTGCTTATGAAATAAACTCTTATAAAATGTGCCAGAGGAAGAGGGGGTATGAATGGCTAGAAAAGCAATGATGAGGGTACTTGGGAATTTTTCTGGCCGCCCCTCCACTGGCACAGAAAATGAAGTGATGAGCTCTAAATATGTGCATAGAGGAGTTTGGACTTTATTGTTTGTAAAATGTGAAGATTTGCTCTTGGACATTTTTTTTTCTTTTCACGGGGGCAGTCGGGATTCTAATACGCTGTAGCAGTTGGCTGGGGGAAAGTCTATCAAATTCCACGACCAATTGGACTTTTCTCCCCACCTGGAATATAAAATATGTAGTCTCATACTGATTTTTTTTCAATGCATTGGGGTTCAACATAAAAGGCACAAATAAATAAAAATATCATTAAATAAACGGAAATTACAATTTCAAGTTTCATGTGGAGTTGTATGTCACTGTTTTGGTTACTTTTTCCAATTTAATTTGACAGACTTAGTAATAGCACCCAACTGTTGAACTGAGGTAGATCCACATTGTAAAGAAAGCTGGGTCCCTTCCATTTTCTCTCTAAATTTATGATGCTTTTATGAAAACAAAAATCCATTTAAATCATATGCAGAAGCGATGACAGGTGGTACTACCTGAAGAAAGCTTAGAACATGAGCAGGTTTGCAAATAAGACCTACGCCCAAATTGCACTCTCCATCAGCCATACAGAAATCTCAGACTGGGGGTGGCAGGGGAAATAATCAAATATGAAAAAAAAAAAAAAAAAAAAAAACCCTGAAAAAGTCGCAAGACTTTCAGAACAGGTCTTTTTGACTGACTGTCACAGAAATGCGCAATGGTCCATTTTCATCAAGCTATGGCAATAGCCAAGCTAGACGAGAGAGAGAGAAACAGAGAGAGAGAGAGAGACAGAGAGACAGAGAGACAGAGAGGTGTATCGCCGAATGCTTCCCTTTTTAACTCCAGAAAAAATAACTTGAATTATGATACAGCATCTCGATCTGAACAGTTTACACTCACTCTGCCTAATATTTTTGCATACTCTGAAACTCACAAATTTAACATCTGATTAAGGCTTAATTTAAAGTGGCTTCGCCACCTAG